TCAAGAAAGATCGGAAGCAATTGTCCCTCATCAACTTTGGCCTCTTCCTTCTAGTCCTAATTGTTTTCTGTGTTGGCTGTTGCGCTCTCAGGAACAACAACTCAAAGGAATATAGTATTGAGCAGAATCGGCCTATGGGTATTAAAATTGGCCCAAACCCATTCCAACCCGTCCGTCCTTTCTTATTGTGAGCTTCTTTGGGAAATAAGCCGATAACCCAACTTGACTCATGACAAATGTTAGCCTAAACACAACCCACTGGATTACCCATCTTCAACCCTAGCTAGAGAAAATGAAAACACAGAAGTCAAGCACTCTAGGGTCATGAAAGCTTTTATATTTGTTCATTTATTTTCTAATTGAAAGATTTAGCAAGAAAGATGAAGAATTTTTCTCTGTATATTGTATATCATCTCAAACTCCCTATATATACAAGTGAGTGTGCTGAAAATAAAATGAAAACTAAAGAATATTCCCTATACACTTGTCATAATCTTATTCCCTATCCTATAACCAAATAACCACTTTTATTCCTTTACAATGTATTCACATGTGTGTGGGCACGTGTATGTATCTTTCCAGCCATCTCATTCTTGAGCATAGTATGCCATATCAATAGCCAAGATTAAATCCAGCTGAGGGTCAAGATGCTGCCACGTGTCTCATTATTTGAGAGACCAAATTGTTCATTCACCTAGATAGTTCGGAAAATCCTGAATCTATGTCTGAAAATCAGCTCTGCATTCCCTTCTTCTCTTTCCTGTTCTTTCTCTCATCGATTGAAGACTCAGAACCATAGCTTTCTTCCTTCTTCTCTACATCCCCCTCAAGTTGGAGGGGAGAGAATGGACCCCCAACTTGTGCAAAATAAGATTATAGGAAGCGCCTGGTAGGGGTTCGGTAAAAAGATCGGCGAGTTGCTGGTGAGATGGGACAAAAGAAAGGGTAATTAGCCCGGGGAGATACTGTTGGCGGACAAAGTGACAATCGAGCTCAACATGCTTTGTTCGCTCATGAAAAATAGGGTTACGGGCGATATGTATAGCTGTTTGGCTGTCGGAGTGAACCGGAATAGGAAGTGAAGGTGGAGAAGACAGATCTGCGAGAAGGCAAACCAACCAGGTAATTTCTGCGGTAACTCTTCTCATAGACCTATACTCTGCTTCTGTAGAGGAAAGGGATATTGATGCTTGCTTTTTCGATTTCCAGGAAATTGGTGCTCCACCAAGCATGATAAAGAACCCACTGACAGACCTCCGAGAATCTTTGTAAGCCGCCCAGTCGGAATTACAAAAGGCTATCAAATCGAATGAGGGGTCTGAAGATAGAAAAATACCTTATGAAGGATCTGTAGAGAGATAGCGTAGAACACGTAGGCGAGCAGTGAAATGAGAAAGGCATGGCCTTTGCATTAATTGGCTGAGGCAAAGCACAACAAAATACAAATCAGGACGAGTATTTGTGAGATAATTGAGTTTCCCCATCAAATGTCGATAAAGAGTGGGATCTGAAAGAAGAGGCCCATCATCAACACTGAGTTTGGAATAAGGGTCAAGAGGTGAAGACACTGCCGAGCCAGAGAAGTCAAATTCCTTCAAAAGATCCAAGGTAAATTGTCGTTAACTAATAATAAACCCTTGTTTTTCTCGAAGAATTTCCATCCCTAGGAAATAATGAATGTCTCCTAAGTTTTTAACCTTGAATTCAGTATTGAGAAAAGCTATAATTTGGTTGTTACCTTCAATATCACTGCCTATAAGCAAAATATCATCGACATAAACAGTTATGATAGAAACTAGGTCCCTAGATTGTTTGTAGAACAATGAATAGTCATTGAGGGAACTTGAATATCCCTTGTAGCTCAATGCCCCAGCAAGCCTGTCATACCACTGCCTAGAGGCTTGCTTTAAACCATACAATGACTTTCTGAGAAGACATGCTTTAGTAGGATCAGGAGGGGATAGTCCAGTAGGAAATTTCATGTAGACTTCTTCTTGCAAGTCTCCATGTAAAAAGGCATTGTTCGCATCAAGTTGTGACACATGCCACCCTTTCTTCACAGCTACTGTTAAGAGACATCTAATTGTGGTCATTTTCACCACTGGAGAAAAGGTCTCTGAATAGTCAATACCTTCTCTTTGTATGTCCTCCCTTACTACTAACCTAGTCTTCAGCCTTTCGATAATACAATCTGACTTATGTTTAACTTTGTAAACCCATTTGCATGGTAAAGCCTTCTTTCCTGGTGGTAAGGTTACCACATCCCAAGTATGATTCAACTCTAGAGCTGCAATTTTTGCCTCCATTGCTTTTCTCCAACCTGCTTCCTTACAAGCTTTATGATAGCTTGTGGGTTCTAAAATGGTGGACACACTCTTTAGAATATTCTGATTGTTGAGTGTGAGAGCTCCAAAAGAGAAAGTAGTAGGTTTAGCTGACTGAGTGAAACATGAGGAGTTGAGGTCTGTGAGGAATATACTATTGCATACATAATCATCTAGGTATGTTGGTCTTTGAGTAACCCTTTCAGATTTTCTGATTGGAGGTGGTGGAATAGGAAAATTGTGAATGGGAGATGAAATAGGAGGACTGGGAGTGTTAGGTTGATTGGTTGATGTAATACTAGGTGAATTCCCCAAGCCAAAACTTGGCAAAGGGGAAGAAGGTTTAGGATGGTTAGTGGTTTGATCACCTATCCCAGGTGTCTTGCTAGGTGTAGAAAGAAAAGGGGAGGCAGTTGAATCTGCTTCAAATGTAGAGATGATGCTGATAGGTGGTTGAACAGAAGGTGGGATATCAGAACAAGTGGTAGGAAGGGAAAACAAGGGTTGAGGTGTTGTGGTGGACAAAGTGAAGGGGAAGTGTTCCTCATGGAACTTGACATCTCTGGAAATAAACACCTCTCTTGTTTCAATTTCCAGAACCTTGTAACCTTTTTGACCTTGTGGATATCCCAAGAATACACATCTCTTAGCTCTTGGCTCAAACTTACTCCTGTTATGAGCCAAAGTAGATGCATAACATAGACATCCAAAAGACCTAAGTGAATCATAGTTAGGTGGTCTTCCAAGAAGAACCTCATAGGGTGTCTTGACTTTCAAAACCCTAGAAGGTATCCTGTTGATGAGATGAGTGGCTGTCAGCACACATTCTCCCCAGTATTGAATGGGGACCTTAGACTGGAAAAACAGACCCCTTGCAACTTCCAAAAGATGCCTATGCTTTCTTTCAACCACTCCATTCTGTTGGGATGTTGCCACACAAGATGTTTCATGCAATATACCTTGTGATTGAAGAAGGCAACTTCCTGTGATCCTTTCCCTAATTCCTTTGCATTATCAGACCTTATCCTCTTTACCTTCATGCTAAATTGCCTTTCTATTAGTAAGAAAAGATTTTAGAATTGGAAAAGCATTGCTTTTGCTACTTAACAGAAAAGTCCATGTGGCTCTACTGTAGTCATCTACAATAGTTAGGAAATACTTAAATCCATTGTATGTCTCAGTCCTAAATGGCCCCAAGTATCAATGTGAATTAAATCAAAAATCCCTTGGGTTTTAATATGACTTAGAGGAAAGGGGAGTCTAGTTTGTTTAGCTTGAGGATAAATGTTACACACATAATCAAAATTTGAAGGGAAATTAATGAAACTAAGATTCTTCATTACTGAAAAGGGTAGATGACCCAATCTGACATGCCATTGGCTTACATTAGAAACAACATTAGCTACTAAAGGTGTTTGAAAAGAAACTGAACTAGAGCAATTGTTGGAATTTCTTCCTTTTGGAATTGAAACTACATCTTGACAAGGCAGAGTGCCAGAAGCTACACTAGTGGGCCTGAGTAGATATAATCCATCTCTTACTTCACCAAAAACTTGTCCCCTCCTTATTAAAGGGACCTGCATTAGACAACTATCTAAAGTTAGATTTAAAGGGCATTTGAATTGACTACATAACTTATGAACAGATAATAAGTTATATCTGAAAGAAGGCACATGAAGGACTATTTTAAGAAACATATTTGACTGAATGGAAACACTACTTATCTGTGTAACATATAATTGGAAAGAGTTAGGTAGACTAATATGTAGAGGAACAGGAAGAGGAGTCAAATATATGAATGAGCTTGAATCAAAACACATATGTTCTGAAGCTCCTGAATCAGTGATCCATGTTTTAGTATTAAAAACTGAAAGACAAGTTCCAGTATACTTGAGAATTGTACCAGCCACTGCATTGGCATTGATTTCTGAACTTGTATATCCTGAGTTCCCAATCTGCACCTGCTTGATTAAGTTAACTAGCTCAGAAACTTGCTCTTTGCTGAACATTTGTGGTTGATTGTTGGTGTTTCCCTCATTGTTAGGAGTTGCTACACTTTCCGCTTGTCCTGTTACCACTGCATTTCCTTTTACTGCTCCCTGATAGTTGTTTGCTTGTTTGGTAAATTGAAAATCTTTTGGGAACCCTATCAATCTGTAGCAGTTTGCTCTCACATGTCCTACTCTCATGCAGTGAGAGCATGTAAGGGTTATAGTTAGACTTCTTTCCTTTGAATTTTTGTGGATTATTTCCAAACTTCTGAGTGGCAGGCCAAGCTTTCTGAATCTGATTGTTGTTCCTTTGTTTGAACTTTGTCTGAGTTCCTGCCATGAATGATGCTCCATCAGAGGGTTATTGAGGACTCATGTATACCTCTCTTTGACTCTCATCCTGAAGTAACAAAGAGTAAGCATGGTCTAGGCTGGGTAGAGGATTCTTCATAAGAATATTTCCTCTTGCTTGGCCATACACATCATTAAGTCCCATAAGGAATTGAATAACTCTTTGATCTTCCAAAAACTTAGTGACCTTCTTCTTTCCATCACACACACAGTCACAGATGCATCCTAGGTGTATGCTCAGCGAGTCCAACTCATCCCATAATCTTTTTAGAGTTGTAAAATAGCCCGCTACACTGCTATTTCCTTTAACTAACTTAGATATCTCCTTTTGCAGGTGATATAGTTTGGCCCCATTGGATTGGCCAAACCTGTGCTCAAGGCTGTTCCAAAGTTCCATTGTTGATTTTGAGTAGATAACACTGTCTCCTATTTCTTTAGACAGTGAGTTTAGTAACCATGAAGTGACCATGTCATTGCACCTGCTCCATTGAGGAAGATCACTGGAATCCAAACTTGGTTTCACACAGCTTCCATTGATGAAACCAAGCATATTCTTGGCCGAAGGGGCAATTAGGATTGACCTCCTCCAACCTGGAAAACCTCTCCCATCAAATGGTGAGTTGACGAGAGACATGCCAGGTGCATCAGAGGAGTCAAGGAAGTATGGATGATTACAATCCTGATTGACTGTAGTAGATGAAGAACCTGGACTTGACTTTGAGCAACTGGAGTAGAGATGACTGGAGTCTCATCTATTACTGCCATAGTTAGCCTTTAGACTTTAAGAGATTCAAAAGGAAATGAAGGATTGAGCTATTAGAGCTCTGATACCATGAAAGATTTAGCAAGGAAGATGAAGAATTTTTCTCTGTATATTGTATATCATCTCAAACTCCCTATATATACAAGTGAGTGTGCTGAAAATAAAATAAAAACTAAAGAATATTCCCTATACATTCGTCATAATCTTATTCCTTATCCTTTAACCAAATAACCACTTTTATTCCTTTACAATGTATTCACATGTGTATGGGCACGTGTATGTATCTTTCCAGCCATCTCATTCTTGAGCATAGTATGCCATATCAATAACCAAGATTAAATCCAGCTGAGGGTCAGGATGCTACCACGTGTCTTATTATTTGAGAGACCAAATTGTTCATTCACCTAGATAGTTCCGAAAAACTCCAATCTATGTCTGAAAATCAGCTCTGCATTCCCTTCTTCTCTTTCCCTTTCTTTCTCTCATTGACTGAAGACTCAAAACCATAGCTTTCTTCCTTCTTCTCTAAACTAATGAATTTTAAAATTGCCAGTCTAATTTTCTATTTTATCCCTTATTTCAAACTTATTTTTTGAACAAAACTCAGTTTGGATCTTGCTTGTACTTGGTTAATGACTGAGGTTAATCTTTGTGAGTACGAAAATGGGATTTTTCGATATAAGCTTTGTTTCGATTCTTTGTTAATTTATTTGTTTGATGACTAAATTGCTTGGCTTTGGATAGACATGCATGTTGTATTTTTTGCGTGTTACTGTCTTCACTTATGTCTTATGTTTAACAAGGAGTATTTGGTATCTGTTCATTCTAATTTATATCATCGCTAATTTTGTACATAAACACATTCTTGAGGCTTCATCAATTAATTTCGTTTTACTTTTTTTCCTAAATACATACTTAAAGTTTTTGTACGGCTCGAATTGGATGTCCCCACCAATGATAAGCTTACCCAGATAATCTAGCAGCATTCAGACTAATCACTTTTGATTCGAGTTCTGGCTGTTTGGGTTACAATATTTGATTCGAAGTCCTTAAACTTGAAAGGTAAAAATTGGCAAGGCTAGAGAAAAGAACCTGAATAAGAAGCAGGACAAGGTTATGCTATAAGAAGTCAATAATGAAAGTGAACTATCTGAAGAAATTGATATGGAATTTAGAAACCAGCAAACTTTTTTTTGATTTTGGTTTGTCGAGAACCAATAAACTTACCCTATAAGAGCAGCTCTACCTAAGCTCTTAGTCTTGTCATAAGGAAATACACGCAAGCTCCAAAAGATATAGCTAACTTCATAAAAGAAAGTTTTCTGTAAATAAAGTTGAAATACATTTAATTGAAATATTAAAAATCTTTTCAGACGATATTTTTTTAATTTCAGTTGCGTATATCTGAACTTGATTCTAAATTGACTAAAGTTACAAAAAGTTATAAATTTCGTCTATGCCTTAAATTGGAGTCCTGAAATCAGCTATGCGCTTGACCTTCTTCTAAGCTAGAGAAACGGTTAGGATCTAATTACCCTACTAAACCCTCTTGGGTTTTGTAACCCATTGGATTAACAACAAACCATCTTTCTGTTTTGGAAATTTTACCTCCTATAGCAAAGGTTTACACCCTATTTATTATAAATCAAACCCTTTTAAAATATTATTTTCTATAGCTACTTTTTATTTTTTATAACAAAAGTTGTATTTATGGTATACACTACCGTTAAGGCATTAAATACGATGTGTAATGTTTTTCTCTCTCATTCTTTCAGTTATTTTCTCCCAAAATCACCGCACAGTGTATCTTATTTCTCTTTCCAGGATCTCTCTCTCACAACAAGTTTGTCTTCCCCATTGTTTAATCACGATTATCTCACAACAGTATTGTTTCTCTCAACTTTCAACTTTTTTGCTCCAAACAGTTGTGGTAAGTATTAAAGTTTTTGGGTTTTTGGCCTGTTAAAACTTCTTCTTTTTCTCTTCACTTTTTTTATTCACCATAGTTAGGTTTTTCAGCAGAAAACTTCAAATATCCTCTTCAATGGCTGATTCAACAACTCCGAAGAGGGTTACGCGGGTATACCCACTAAAGCACTCAATTTCGATGGACCATCTTTCGATTTGCATATCACTCAAGAGGAACCTATATTTGCAGGTTCATTAGCAACCATTGAAGCCGAAAAGAAAACAAAAAAGCACAATGACCCTATGAAACAAGGTCAACATGAGAAATCTTTGAAAAAATCAACACTTTCTGATGTGGAAAAGAGAAGAAAACTTATCGATGATACTTCTGGGAGCAAGGGAAAAGATGTCGCTAAAGGAAGTAGCTCGGAAACACAGAAGGACAAGGTAATTTTAGATTCATTTATATGTATTCGAGTCTGCATATACTGATTTTTAGTTTGTACAGTGGTTTTCTCTTCTTGTATTTAGATATATTTATATGTATTCCAGTTCGAATACATTGATTACTATTTTGTAAAGTGATTTTCGATTATTGTATTTAGAGATATTTATATGTATTTGAGTCCATACAACAATATTTTTAGATACACCAACAGTTCTATCATTTTGATGTTATTCATGAATTAGTTATGTATTCAACCTAACTGTATTCATCTGTATTTTCATCCTAAAAGTATTCATCTGTATTTTTAACAACAGTTATTGGCATAACTCATAGTTTTTTTATGTAATTATCAGTGTATTATGTTGTATTCATGAATGATTTATGTATTCAACCTAACTCTATTAATCTGTATTGTTATATTTTATCTTTTTTTGTTGTTTTTTTATGCACGAAATAAAACTCTTTGTTGAACACCCGCCTATTTTATCGCCGCATATCAGTTGCTACACTAACACCGATATAATCGCCAACCTCAAAGTGAAGCTTACTCCAGATCAGTACAAACTATTTGATACTACTTGTTTTGGAGGATTCCTCGATATGAAGCACTGTGAGGTTCAACATCAGTTGTTCAGGTGCTTCATGGTTCTGCAGCTGGAAAAAAGTCCTATTGATTCATTTTTAATACATGTGAATGGTACAACATTATGCTTTTCACTCAGGGAGTTTGTGGTAGTTACTGGCCTCAATTGTGTTGGTGATGTTGACGATTTTGAGTTTAACACAAAGATGCCTAATAGGATTGTGGATACATACTTTGGTGGTGCAAATAATGTCAAGAAGAATGTCACGACCCAAACCCCGCTCCGGTCGTGATGGCGCCTCTCGTGAAGACAAGGCCAGCCAGACCATTTCAGAACACCTCTTTTAAGCAGTTAGACAGTTCATAAGCAGTTTAAATATGATTTCATGATATTAATTAGCGGAATTACAACCCAACACAGCCCTAATCGGGGTGTCACAAGTCACGAGCATCTATTAGAGTGTAAATCCAACTACAAGGTCTAAAATATACAAAACCGAAATAATGAACAAAAGAGAGAAAAATGGTGCTGCGAACGCTAGCAGTCACCTCGCTAACTCCTATAACTCTGCCTCTGATCAGCCAAAACCCGCTAACGGGTGGATAAATACCTGCATCTGCACACGAGGTGCAGGGAGTAAAGTGAGTACTCCAACACAGTGAGTAATAAAGGTAAATAACAACTGAGCAGTAAGAAATCACAATAACAAATCATCATGCTGTATAGAGCAGTGCAAAACCCTTTTGAGAAAAACGGTGAGACTGTGAAATCTTTAGAGAAACATCTTAGCTCAGTTTAAACCTCTTTTGAAAATGACTTTTTCAGCGGTCACGCAAATGAATGCAAACAAATAGTGCAGATAAGCACAGAAATCCGCCCCTCGGCACAACACTCAGTCATCAGATAATGCCAGGCAATTAGGTAGATATTGCATGAAGTAGCACAGACAACAGATAATGGCAGGCAAATGAAATAAAGTAAACACATAGAACAGTACTAGTACCGCTGCGGCGTGCAGCCCGATCCACATATCGCTGCGGCGTGCAGCCCGATCCGTTTATCGTCGACGGCGCTCACTGGGGGTGTGCAGACTCCGGGAGGGGCCCCTTACGGTCCAAGCGCAATANGGGGGGGGGGGGGTGGGGGGGGGTTTGAGTGTGAGAGAGAAAAGAGAGAGTTTGGGGATAGTTTTTGAAGAAAATAAGAGAATGGGAGGGGAAACCCGATTATTTTGCTACCAAAATAGCGACCAAAGTTGGTCGCTAGTTTCTGACCGTTTGGCCAGAATAGCGACCAACGTTGGTCGCCATTTCTAAAAAAAAATTAAATTACTTTTAATTCAATTTAAAATTATGTACATATGTAGTATAGTATAGTATAGTATATATATATATATATATATATATATATATATATATATATATATAAGCTATATTCGATATAATATTAGCTAATGCACTGATACTTAGTGCATAGTATAGTGTAAGTGTGTGTGTGTGTATATATATATATATATATATATATATATATATATATAAAAGCTATATTCGATATAATATTAGCTAATGCACTAATACTTAGTGCATAGTATAGTGTAAGTATGTATATTTGTCACGACCCAAACCCCGCTCTGGTCGTGATGGCGCCTCTCGTGAAGACAAGGCCAGCCAGACCATTTCAGAACACCTCTTTTAAGCAGTTAGACAGTTCATAAGCAGTTTAAATATGATTTCATGATATTAATTAGCGGAATTACAACCCATCACAGCCCTAATCGGGGTGTCACAAGTCACGAGCATCTATTAGAGTGTAAATCCAACTACAAGGTCTAAAATATACAAAACCGGAATAATGAACAAAAGAGAGAAAAATGGTGCTGCGAACGCTGGCAGTCACCTCGCTAACTCCTATAACTCTTCCTCTGATCAGCCAAAACCCGCTAACGGGTGGATAAATACCTGCATCTGCACACGAGGTGCAGGGAGTAAAGTGAGTACTCCAACTCAGTGAGTAATAAAGGTAAATAACAACTGAGCAGTAAGAAATCACGTATAACAAATCATCATGCTGCATAGAGCAGTGCAAAACCCTTTTGAGGAAAACGGTGCGACTGTGAAATCTTTAGAGAAACATCTTAGCTCAGTTTAAACCTCTTTCGAAAATGACTTTTTCAGCGGTCACGCAAAT